TTGTTGCTCCCAAATTGGTTTACATAGCCTTATATTCGATTTAGTACCACTCTAATTTGAGTACATGTTGTGCTGCCACCATCGTGTTTGTATCTTAAGCTATCTTTTTTGGGATGCTACCATAACACGATCCATATCTCAAGCTACAACCTTTCCCAAACGAACATGGCCAGATTTATCAAAATTCTAGTTGTTATTCTGCAGTGTACTATTTGCTTTTTATAGTGCTACCATAGTTGGTATAATTGACTTGCAGTATGGGCGCCAAAGCTTCTCAATATAACTATATTATATGGGTATACTACTGACGATCATTTTACTTCCAGCTTGGTAATGCAAGGAGGCCTGGAACCTTGACTTATAATGCACCAGCATGGCACTCATTACTGAAATTAGTAATGTATGACTTAATACCTAACGCAACTTTCAATCTTGTATAGCGCCAGAGGTGTTTCAAGCCTAGTTAGGCCAATCCTTTATCACAGATCATAACCATATTCACCACATTACCTGTTACTCTAGCTTTAGCACACTAGTATTACCCTCCCAATCAAGATCCCCAGACCGCCCAGGGGTTGTTGGTACTACTCTGCTAATCGTGGATTTACATGCGCAACCTATTTGCCCCAAAACCTTCTGCAATACTACACATAACGCCAACTTTCTATGGCTAGATCTCCTTCCAGAAATTCCTATTCTAGATTCGTATTTCACTTGGGCTTTTCCACAGGGCTTCATATCCGATTATTAGCTCCTAACATCATAAGGTTACAGAGTTTCTTTCACCTCTAGCCTAAATTAAACCATGAATCTTAACTTATACTGTGGGGGTTTGGCAGCTTAACCACTAAGCTATAGAGCCCAAACCCAATTTATAAAATTTTTTAAAAATTTAAATATTTTAAAATTTTACTTAGGCTAACTTTAAACCTAATTTTAATTTTAACTTAACTTAAATTCTAACTCTAAATTTTAGTTACAATAATATAATTTAATTGCAGATCTGTTTATAAATGGTAATTTTACTATAGCGCAAAGTTTATAATAAAAAATTATACATATATATATTTATAATTAATAATAACTATTTGTTATAAAAAGTCATATGATTGATATTCGTTATATATACATTCAACTTTTTTTGATGATCATCAAAACCAAATTTTCCTACTAATAGAAAAACAAATTTTTTGTTGGAGAGTTGTGGCCTACGTTGTGGTTTGTCTAGAGATCAATGTTTTTGCTTTGCGGGACTTCTCTAAAAAGATATTTGGCATGCAAGCCAAGAGCATTATTATACAAAATAACTGGCAAAATGTGCCCTTGTATAAAAAATCTTGGTGGAGTTTGGGCAAAAGGCTCAACTTCATCGACGAAGCTTCTAGGTCGTTATTTCAAAGAAGAACACAAGGAAAACAACAAAACTTTTTCTTTTCTAAAAGCCACACTCCTTCTTTTGGCTTAGATGATTCCTCTCTTTCTTTTTCTCGCCCTCCTGTCGGTCTTTCAAAATTTTTTACAAAAAGTGGGGATTTGGCTTACCTCCTCCAAAAGATCGGCATTGTTTATTTTCCAAATTCGGACAGACTCAGTAGAATGCAACCATGTGATGTGTCTGTTTACAAATACGGTGCTACCCCCGGAGAAGTTGGATTGGGACCTCCGGTTAAAGAGATATCCGAAAACGGTCATAAGTTGAAAATTTTTATACGTTAAGGCAAAGCTTTACATTAGAGATATACAATCATTGCATTTGTTATATAATTTTTTCAGCCTTGTACAGGTTATAATAGTGCATTCTGGTTATATAAAGATGTGAAATCTCTCTCAAACTATTATCTTTTTTCTATAAAATGTTTTTATTTTTTTTCTGTTTTTTCTTTTTTTGGGTTTTTTTATTTTTATATTTCATTCATTTTCCCCTACTCCCCCTTTTTTACATCTCCTTTTTAATTATAGTTCGGTTTCGTTTTTTTATAGATTTTTTAATAAGATAATTCTAGCTTGTCCGCAAGTTAGTGTAACAGGTTGTATTAAGGACCGTAAGGTAACCAAATAAAGTTAGGCTTGTAGTTCTATAAATTAAATGCATATAGTTTATATATATGTTGTTAATAAAAAGCAAAGCCATGGCAATTCCCGTGAAGATTAAAAAATATATATATATATATATATTTTTTGTTATATATAACTTGAATCTTAATAATGCCTCCTATATTTATGAATTATTATTACTTTATCATTAAAAAAAGTTTTATATATAGAAAAAGAAGATTTCATAATAGCTTTGCCTGTTAGTTCTATGTTTAATTATCTTCTAACTATATTTTTGCTATTTATTTCCATTATTATTATTATATATTATGGTAAGATCATTATTATTACTTTTATCTTTTGTTAGTGCTTTTTCAGATACTTATTTTTTAAAGCTTGCACTATATCTTCCAATCCAGCCTTTGATAGTTTTTGCCATTAGTACTTCTTTTAAAGTAAGCTCTTTATTTATAGCCAGGTCTTTAAAAGCAATATACATATCTTCAGAAAAGTATTGATTTGCAGATACTATATTATCTGCCAAAAAAAAGCTTTGCAAATATTGTAGTACTTTTTTTGACATACACTTTCTTGCTTCTTTATTACCAAACTTTATATTTTCCTTCAAGACCTATTCCGCATCAAAAGGAAACTCTTAATCAATGCTATAGAACTAGTGGTTAGTATGCAAAGACTACCCGATTTCGTATTAATATTATTGCTAATTACTTTGTGTCTTTTACATAATAGGAATATACATTATGTAAGAATTATTCATAGGATTATCAAATATAACAGAATAATATATTTATATATATTATTACTTTTTATATTATCAAACATTTTAGTCAATTCATTACTATTATTGGTACTAACTAATTTGGGTAATTAGTGTAAATCATGTGTATTTTAATGAATACATACAAGTATTACTAAGAGAAAACGGAACTTCAGGTATTATTTATTATTTACCCAATTCAGCTCTAAGAGTAATATATATGCATATTATATATCACTGATCTTGGGTTGAATCGTGTAAATAATAAATGTATATGTACATACGTACGTACTATATTATCTAATTCATTATTCATTTTTTCGATTCCTTTGTTTACCAATTGTCCTGTATCTTTATAATAAAATAAGTTTTTTTTTTTAACATTAATAAAATACTCAATTATTGTACTATATTACTTAATGTTTTAGAAATCGGTGTTTTCCACACAGTTTTTGGCTTAGATGATTCAGAAAATATTAAAGAAGGTTCTTTTACAGAAGGTGGCAATTTGTGTAGGTTGAAAGTTAATCTATTTACCTATATGAGGAAGGGAGCAAGTACGAATATATCTGCTGTTACAGGCCAGGATCACTCAAACAATTTGGAAATACTAGGTATTGTTTTGATTTTTTTTTTTCTGGCACTGATTTCTGATTGTTGATTAGTTCTATTAATCATGAAAATATACAGATATATACATTATAAAAATAGAAATTGCTCTATATGTTTACTCTATATGTTAGTTGATTATCTGAGTTGAGATCTTTAAAATCAGATATCTGGTTATACTGATAAAATTAGTACGGCAGTATAGGTTTGTTCTGATTGAAGTTGGATTAATTACTGTTGAATGTGCTGAATGCCTGGTGGCTATTGGTAGTATTATGTAAATAATTAGCATGTTAAATTGACATTTAGTCCGTATTTTTAATTAACTAGTTTAATTTTGCAGGATGCTATCTATAACAATTATACATTTAACACATTTGGCCGACAATTAATCTAACTTCTATTAGAAAAAATTTATCGTCTTAAACAGTGATTTATCATGAAAATTTTTTAAGATCAATATCAGCATTTAGCAATATGAATCAATACTTAAGATGAGAATTAAAAATCAAGCATAGCAAATATGATATGATTAATTTTTTGTAATTAGAAATACTTGTACATAATTATTATAAATAAAATTTACAATTGTTATGTACAGATCTTATTTAGTATAAGTTAGAATATATAAATATTATAAGATTATTTAATATAAAAAAACTCTAACCCTAACCCAAAGCTAACTATAAACTATACTATGACCCTCACCCTAACCCTAACTAGTCTCAAATTTGTTTAGATTAGTTCAAATAATTATTATTATATTATAATATTTATATATTCCCACCTATACTAAATATCAACCATTATATACAAGTCTTTAAGCCTTCCAATTTTGTCAAAGTTAATGTAGAAAACTTATTGCATTTATTTTCAATAAAATTTAATTTTAGAGTGTTATATTAAACTTACTCTAATGATTCTGATTCTGGTGTTTCTATTGTTTCATTATAATCTGGCTCTATATGTACTACAGATGTTCTGCTCAAGTTATAAAGTGCTGACTCAATATCTGCTTTATCGGTAAGATTATATCCAACTCTAATATATCTCTTAATTGCATATGCAATCTATTATTAATATCGTTTATTTAGTAAAATAAAAAAAAAAAGAAATATATATTATATACTGATCAAATTAAAGATTTCTTTGTTTTTTTTTAATAGCACACTTAAAATATTATTCGATTACTTATTCGACCTATTGTTTGATGAAAATCAATATATATGGCCTTACAGCATTCATACGTACTAAATCGTATACAAAGTAAATAATATATCAGGTAACAAATCAAGTAGCATATTGAATAGTATTGTAAATGTGCTATTTAACATATCAAACATTTAGTTTTGAATAGATACGAGTGCTACCAAATAAAAACATATAGTTCTAAAAATATATATTATGAAATTCATAATAATATATTTTTAGAATTGGATATTATTATTTGGTAATACTTATATACAGTATCAAATCTACTTGCTGTTGCGTGATGAAAATTAACTGTAGTTTTTACCTCTCTAAGTTTAAGAAAAATCTATCCATGTACTTCTATCTTGTACCAACTATACTAGTAACTTATAATTGCCATTAACTCTGAATTATGGTAGTGCTCTTCATTATCCAAAATTATTTTAATCCAACAAGATTTAGGTTTAATAGTTATGAATACTGCTTCAAAGCAGGATACAGTGAACCAAGCATCCTGCTTGATATCAGTACTCCAATGATCATAGGCCCGAATATCCAAATTTTCACTATTGTCTTTATCTTTTTGAAACATCAAGATTGTATAAAGTATCTATCCTCGCTTTCTAAAAAACTGGCTTTTTGTTTCTTGAGATGTTAAAGGTAAAATTTGCATCTTATAATCAACTACAATTACTGCTCCATAATCATCAAGCTCACCTAATGTAGCATTAAATTGGAAACTTAGATATGTTTTATGGATTTGGTAAGCTAAATAACATATTAATCATTTCTAATATTTTATAAACTTTATATTGTATAAAGTATCAAGCTTATTTATTAGATATTCAAATATACTGTTATAGAACGAATTTATTATTAGTTTATTATTTTATTATTTATTAATTATCTTAGAATATTATTATCTTGTATTA